CTAATTATATTATAATGGATACAAAAACCTTTTGTGATACTTATCACTGAACAATACTTTTCAATTATGGATGACAACTATGTATAATTATCGTCTTCATATGTAAAAATTCAGATTTCCGTATGTTTACCGTCCGCAAAAACCCAAAACCTTGTAAAGAGTTACCATTTGTATAAGATACTTTATAAAAAAAGTTCCCATGATAACCGTTACTAGGATAGTGACTGCCCACCTCTCTAAGTATGGCTCTAGCTATAATAATAAGAAACCTTAGCAATGTTATAGTGATATTCTAATTAATTTTACTACTTTGAGATGTCTTTAGTTAGACGACCAATGGTCAGTTTCACAATCGTGCATTGTTTCATAGCGACTTTAAGCTCTAATGAATCTTATAATTTTTGATTTTTTTTTATCGGTAAAGTGGCATTAAACTAATGTTTATTATAATGGACGTTTGTGCAATTGGCTGTAAGTTAAATAACACTTCTATCAAATCCATAATCATTATTGTTTATCATACAATCGTCATTAATAAAGGGCATTCATTCATTCAATTATATATATCCTTTGCTACATTTTAGCCAAATTCAAAATCCAAAAAGAGGTTCTATGTTCGACGGCGATTTTTTTATGGATGTTCACCGATATTTCCGCTAATTATTGACCGATTGTTGAATATCAACAACGAATCATGATAAATAGTTCTCTAGGGACCACGTGGGTGAAGCCGTTGGCGGAAAGTTAGTATTTAATATTTTAGTGTTAACTATGAGTATTATATAAAAAATATCAATATCACTAAATATTATCAAATAAAAACTTTAAAAAAAATATAGAACAGACTTCAAACTTTTAAAAAGTGATAAATAATACTCATCTCACAAGCGACTTATTCAAGACAATGCTACTGAAATACTTACTACACAATTACCAAAATATTTTTATTTCCTCAATGAAATATATTCCATAAGTTTTTTCCCTGTAGTAAACATAAAAAGTTTAAAACTAAAATTCAAAACCAATTAAGATTACGATGAAAAAAGACAGCAAAGTGAACGTTTTAAAAAACCTTCTCTTCACTGTAAAACCCGAGGTTTTGCAGGTTTTAAACTTTAAAATAACCAGATACTCATATCCTTTCATAATATCCGAGAATTCTTAAATGATTAGTCATTCGTAGTATTGCATGTAATAAAACCTGCTTGTAATATAAAATTCCTGGATTTTCTATTAAATACATAATAATAAAGACACGTTTCAACTATAGTGCAGTAAAAAAGAATCTTTGCAATATCCGGCACGTGTCCTTATACTCTTACACAAATAATGCCAACTGGGATAAGTCTGGTCTGGTCTGGTCGAGATAATTTTCATATTTTCAAAAGAGAAGTTTTATAATCAGTCTACGGTTCGGGGAGAAACCGGCGAATGTGTGTAACAAATATTCATATAAAAATTACACACCCATCGAACCGAACAGAACAATAGGAGGCGGCTCCGTTTTGATTTTGTAATCGTTTAAAAAATTTACTGCTCGTAACTAGTTTAGATAAATATTATTTCGTTAGGTATAACACAGTAGACATTTAACTACTGTGAGGGACTGAATGCACATCACAAAGTCAAGTACAGGCGGGTAAAGGCTTCGCAATTTAGACTCTCAAAACCCAAAATCTCATAATCTCATTTTGTATGCAAGTGCAAGCTGGAAAAAAATAGATTGTGGACTTCAGACATCGGGTTCATAGATAGGTCGTTTATTTAAACAACTACACATAATTACATTATACACTTATACAAAACGAAAGAACAGCAATATATATGTATATGTAAGATAAGAGTCGAGGCTAAGTGCGCGTAAATCACCCAAGAATGAGCGAAGCATTGATTTTCAGCCGTCGCCCAGTCTTTCAATAAGCGGGGCAGATTATTGGAAAAAAATGATAGATTACCAATACCGTAAAATGATGTGATACCGTTGTACGAGGAGATTACCGTCGTACACCAGCTGCATTATTACGTAACTGCAGCAAAGTAGCATTGTATTGAGTTGGCAAAATAAACCTGTTACTTAAGTTTTTTTTCTGTACTTCGAAAAAGTTTTGAACAGCTTTACTATGCTATTCTGTTATAATAGTCTTGAACTCGACATCGAGCTCAGTACTGTGACAACGTACATCTTCAAGGGAACATAAGCTTCATTAAGTTTTCAAGTTGGCATACGAAAACGTATCTAATAATTAAATTGTAATTTGATGAGCTCTAACTTTTAGTTCGATTGTAATCTATCGATATTTAATTTCAATTATAATCTATTGATGTAATTTTTACTAAGGAATTAAAGGCTTTAATAATAATTTACCATTTGAAGTAAGTTTAATTTGATAATACTTGTATGCTATGACAACGCTGCGCTCAATGTCGATTACGAGGCTGTTTCTGTCTGCTTAATTCCTTACTAATAACTGTCGATTCCTGTATTAAGCCCTTGCACGACAAATGCTTGTTTGTACGTATCGTCAGCCAATTAGGACGCCTCCTAATAGTTACGGCAGAACACTTTCCCTTTATGTAAATATTTAGCAGTTTCAACACATAATTATAAATGTGCCTGTCATTATGAATTATTCTAGTATTTTATAAGATGGCATCTCGTTTTTAATATATTCTTGAAGGAAATTAGTTTGTTTCGTTTTAAAATACTACAATAGAGTCCATGTAGAGTCAACAAAATTGAATTCGGAAGCTACACGTTAACCTTTTTTTTTTTGTATTTTACACTAGTGGATTTCTCGTAATTTATTAGACACTATATAATATTACACAATATATCTAAGATAAAGTTGTTACAACAAAAACATCAACCGATGAAAAAGCTGAAATATTTTTTACATAAGGTATATTAAAAAAAAAATCTTTTGCCCCTATCTAAACTTCTTAATAGCATTTGCAGAAATTATCGTTAAAAAACTACACATAGACAACATAAAAGTATATAATGAACATCATAGTTGTAAAGAGTTTAATATCTATCTCATTTTAAAAATATTATACGCCAAGAAATTATCATCTAAAAAAACCCGAAAGTAAACAAAAATTTCTTATGGCCAGTATACAAAATATAAGGAAAAAATATAAGCTAGAACCTGCTACATGTGAAAGTGTTTTATGAACGAATTCAATTAGATTATATCTTGATTTCAATAGAGGACATGGTCATGATTAATGCATAAGGTCAATATATATTCAACCTTACTTAAATGTAAATCAACTCTACTGCTATATCGATAAACTTAATGTGTCAAAAATGATGTGATATTCTTATTTTGTCATATGATTTATCAATTACATTAGTGTTTTTGTACAGTGAGCAATCTTCATAAATTCCTACGGATAAAATTGTGATAAGGGTTGAATAATTTTGAACAAATAACAAACTTTACGGTGCAAATTTGAAATATTGAAGATTATTTTTATTAAAATATAATCCCTAAAAATATGATGTTTGTTGAACCATTGCAGCAAATAAAGGCACAGATATTTGTCGCTGTTACATGAGAAATTGCTTAGGTAGTCTCTGCATACATTATTGAAACAAAACGTCCCTCAATTAAAAACATATTCAAAGAATTCATTTTCTATACAGTATCCTCTATTCTCTTCTGAGATCTAATTTATCTCTTTATTGCATTCGGGATCAAACCGAATTATTTCTGTATTTATGACATATCAAAAATAAAATGAATTCATCGTATAAACAAAATGGTTTGTTTTCTTTAACAGTCTCAGGTCGTCCTCTAAACCGAAGTAAATATGAAAGAGATGTTGATAAATATTTCTGCTATTAGTAGTAAACAACTATTAAAAGCATTTCGTATTTGTTATCATGAAATAATTATAGTTGTAATGTCAGTTTATCGGATGTAATCAATATACGTAGGTCCATTGTACCTCTGTGGTTGAATATTTTTAATATATGACGTACTATAAAAAAATGCCGATAATATAACATTACTTGATTCGTTTTTAATACAGAACAATGTGCGATTATTGAAAATAAAGTATAAAAAACATTTTTTCATACATTTGACCAATTTTACATTCTTAATGCTATACTGGGAAATATTCTAGATTAAAAATGCTTAAAAAATCCTCCTATCTCAGAGTACCTGGCTGGTGGATTTTTAAGCGTCATTCATAAGGAAACTATTTTTTTACATTAACCAAACAGGGTATCGAACTTTCTCAAAAACAAAATACAATGAAACAAGCATGTAATACGGGTAAATACGGAAAACAACAACAATTGGAGTACCAAATATAAAAGATCGTAAGTCGTATTCCCGTTTGCGTTATCACCAGGATCAAAATTAAGTACCGTTGGACAAACTGCTTTTATTTTGGTCACCCTACTTCACGCCTTCAATGTTTATTCCGGCAATTTGACCAAACATGTTGAAGTTATCAGTGCAAATATTGAATATTAATCGAATTATGACTTTTGATTTGCTGATCCTACTTTACGGTATGTATGCCATAACAATTCGTTGCAGAACGATAGCAAAAGTGTACTAAAACCATAAATTCGATTCGCATATAATATACGTAATTACGATAATACATGCACACATATTTAAATGAAACATCGCTGCCCTAAAAAAATAAAGAACAACATTATTTAAGTTTAATCTAACTTAAAAACATTTTTTAATAAGTCCGTTAGTACATTTCATGTTTAGAATATTCGGCTATTCAATTTAACCTTCTTCATTCTACTTATACGAAACGTTATAATTTTTACTAGGAATTTAATGAAAGAATTTTAAAATTCGTGTTTAATATTAGAATAAACTAAGAAACTAGAATCAAAAATTCCGGTGATAGATTCAATATAGGCAACGAATTAATACTTCTTCCTTTCATAATTAAAAAGAAACCGGAACGCCCCATTACATTTACAGATTAAAAAAGTATTGAAAATACTATTTTGGACTAACCTTATAAAAACTCCTTAAACTGCCCAAGTCGATATTTAAAAATCGAACAATCTTTGATATGAAAAGGTTAAGTTACGTAAACACACGAGTGTCAAGTTGTAAAGGCAAGCACAAACTGAGGTAACCTGCCTGTTGATTGCCTTTCCGATCAACGGTGCTACTATGTATTAGCAGTCACTTATTTCACGCTTTGAAACAGTTCGTCCCTCTCTATCATATGACGGAAAAGGAGAGGGAACACTTCGAGACTTATGCGAGATGAGTGGCGTGGTAATTCCGCAGGTCGCATGCCATTGCATTCATGTGACCATGTCTTAGAGATTTCTTAGAGCAAATTAACTATTGAAAATTCTGAGAAATTCTATACATGTAATTTATAACATTATTACGCGCTTTTGTAACCGTAAAACTGTGATTAGAATTTGGCTTAATACAGTCATGACAAAAGCGATTAACGGCTTTACGTATCTATTAATGTTAATGATACTTTAATTAGTTAAGAAATGTATTGTTCGCCTTACGATAAACAATTTCGAACTCGAGTTTAATATACTAGATACTCCTTAACTAATGAACCTATGTGATACTTAATATTCAATGTGAAGCTACAAATACATACAACTTGGAACAATCTCACAATAAGAACTCTACGCTGGAATCAAGGAGCATAAATTCTCCTAGGCTGAAAACTATCATAGCAATCAATCGTAAATAACAGAGGGATATTTCTATTATGTAAGATATTCATTTACATGTTAAAATCAAAATAATTTTCTTAGTGAAAAATGAAAAATGAGATGGAAGCATTGTGAATACAAAATTAATCAAATATAATATTCAGAATGTTTTGTTTGTAATTTTTAAGTTACGTAGAAGGACAAAGTTTGTAAGAAAAATATATGTATATGTAGAACCAATCCCAACAATTTCGTATATAGTATTCAAACTTTTTAATTGTATTTTGAAAAACTGAGCGACCGCTAAAAACTTAATAGAAATAAGACTGTCCGACTACACGTTGACTTTATGGTTCCAAACGTGCGATTCGGTCATCTGAATGAATAGAGGCATTATAGCGTTATTGCCACACCGTCAACGCCACCGCTGCATCGCGGTTGGTAGAGACACAGAATATATAATACAACCTACACGGTAGAAGTCAGACGTACCGGGCCGGAAGGAAATAATTCGCTATTCTGTAAAAAATCAGCGACGAACAGCGCTGTCGCACCATAGAAATTCAATCAAGTGAAAATTTTTTGAGAGAGGTTTTATTTGTTCGAAGCTGCGCTTTTCTTTACAGAACATCAAAGCTGGACTCTACGTTTCGATATTTCGGGGAAGTAAACTAAGATATTTCGGGGAAGTAAAATAAAGTCCCTTAATTTCGTAAGAGGATTAATGAAATGAAATTATTTTTTATTCAATAAAGCTTAATGAAATACGTTTTTTTCTCTATCATGTTCCGGATAAAACATATTGTTTAAATTCTCTTCGGTTGAGAACAGTCAAAGTCATCAATACTACTTAATTAGGCATTATTAATTTATGCTATGCAAGAGCACAGAAACTCTCAAAATTATGATGATACTTAAAAAATGCGAAAATTATTAGTAATAAGCTACCAAAATTGTTTTACGTAACAAATGAATGATGCCTAGTTAAGCAGTTCTGTTATTCATGATAAATTGATCTACTTTATAAAGTTTCAATATTTAAAAAGTAACTAAGTGTGAATCGAACTCGTTCATGAATCATCAACAAATCTAATACTTACTACATTTTTCTCAGATTCCAAGATGGGTAGCTATAACCCTCGTACTATAGATATCTAAAACAGGGATTATAGCAAAAGAGATCCGACGCTATATACAAAGAAGATCTACATCGACTCTACCTGGAATTGAACACTGGTCCTCAGACATAGCGATACCTTAAAGCGGCGTGCAAGCCACTCTGTTACGGTTGTCTTCAGGTGGTTACTCATAAAGTTTGATTTATCTGTCAGATCATTTAGACAGACAGAACAACTGTCAGCAGTCACTAATCAGTATTAACAATGATAAACAAAGTAATTTCGTCACTCTCAAGGAAATAAAAATTGATAGGGTACTTCCGGTTGACTTAGAACTATAACATTTTTATCTAGATATTTTTCTAATGTTTTTCATAATTTACCTACTGATTCACGAATCACATAAACGATAAAAAAGCGTCTTTAACAGAAATTATGACGAACATACAGCTTTGTGTACATACATATTTCTATATTTATGAAGTTTTTTTGCCTCGTTCATATTCCAGTAAAATGGTTTTTCTGATATTATTACCTATAACTACATATTATATGCATCATTTAATGAAAATAAGTTTTTTAGACACAATCCGTTAAATTTTGTTTGCGTACATTTATTTATAGTTTACCTGCTTAATTTTTAAAATCGACGTCACATACTTTGTAAAACCAAAGAACCCATTAGCCACAAACTACATAGGTAGGGTAAGCCGATAGAATCAAAGATTTAGAGAGTATAATATAAATAAAGTAGGTGGCATATTGATGGCATCCTTGTTAGAGACAGCATGGAGACAGCTTTAAAAACTAGATCGCATTACCAGTAAACCATAAAAACTACACACAGTAGGAATGTTTGATGTTGGAAAAACATTAATATCGATATCGATTATAACAAATTATCAAGATAATTTAGTAATCGATAAAATTTCATTTTATTTATTTATTTATGTTTGGATCACTAACACGCAAAATATTAAATCTAATAGAGAATATTACACAAACCTTGATGTAAATGACAGCACCAGCACATACATTAGTAAGCAAACAAACTTTTACGAATATTTTATCTTTTGGAAATGAATGACTTTATTTGTTTATTAACTTTAAATATCAAAGTATGCACCATGATGTATTATTGGATAAATTTACACTCATTGTAATAAAAAATAGAAAAGGCGTATATAAGAATAGAAAAAGTCCATCACATTGACAATATGATGAACTGTTGGCTATAGAAAAATAAATAATTATATTCCATTACATATATCATGAAAAAAGTATAAAATGAACAAAATATTAAGAAACAATATTGAAAAACATTTATTTAAATCAAATTTATCTATAAAATGCTTTTCAATTAGAAAATTGGAATCTTTTAAAATAGTAAATTAGAATGAGAAAGTTTTTTAACAAAATGAAGAAAGCACTAAAAAGCACCTCACTAGATAGCGACTCTAGGAAAAGTTGATTTTTGTAGGAAATGAATGGATCAAAGATAGTCATTTCCGTTCATTTTAACTTACATATTAAAAAACTGAATTTTGCAAAGTTCGAAACTTAGATATCAATGCGAAAAAGTACAAAAAGAATATGAGTTGTTTATTGAGTCTTGAAAATTAATTAACTTTTATACATGAGAGAAAATTTTAGCACTTAGGACCAAATCTAGCACTATTTAGTATTTTTAGTCTTTTATTCTTAAATCTAGATATTTCAATGTTTCACTGTCCCACGCATGACCCTACATGAAAAAAATATTTTCTAGTAGATTTTGACAGTGAAAAAGTATGGCTTTAGTTATGTTATATTTTTATTATAAAACAATAAAAGCGTAAGTTATGTTTTTTGTTTAAGCGTAAACATGTAATAATTAGAAATCGGTTTTACAAAAACGATAATTTAAGCACTTTTTTTTGGATATCTCTAGCAACCTAGCTTCGATCAACAATACAACAATCGACCACATTTTTTGATGTTACTAGCACTAGCATTTACCTTACGTATCGAGTTGGCAACACTGGCTAAAAGCTGTTTTACTAAAGATGGACAATACCACTTAGGTGCACTACTACACTTTTACTCGATATTGTATCGGACATGAAGTATACATATCTACTCGGTATCGAATGAAAAGTATTGATACTTACTCGTATCGAATAGTTTCAAAATACCTCACAACAGTCGTCATTTTTACAGATTTTAGAACATATTTAATACTATCGATAGTCAATAGCAACACTCCGTTTACGGAAGAAAGAGGAGCAGGTCCGGCATAAAAAGCGATCCATATAGTTATATATCACTTAAAAATTTTGTTGGCAAGACTTTCTCCAGGTAGATCTTTGGCTACATAAAATTACGAGGTGTTTGCAATCCTCACTGTCGTGTGACAGGGACACCGCGCCAGTGGAATTTTTTCATGAGATAGACTTCCCTTTTTATATTACATTACTCTTTGGATAGACTTTAGGCTCCTTACCACAGAGTAAACAGTCGAGCACGCGAGTTTTTTGACTCTCCTCAATGAGTGACTGACCAGTACCGATACAAATAATTCACGATACTATATTCCGTTTTATTTAAAGTGGCACAAGATGTAAGCAAATATGGCGACATGACAGTTTTAGAGATGGGACATATTATGAATTTGATTAATTGAACTATCTCATTCATGTCATTCGGTGACTGACTTGTTCCATAAAACTTGTCTTAAATGAATAAAACTATTCTCAGAGTAGTACAATATACAATAAATATTTTTAAAAAACTTATATTCATAACAACTGAACAAGTTTACTTAATTAAATATTACATACTGGGTGTTAGGGGAACGCTTCCGAAAACGAAAACCAGTGATAGAGTAAGTGATTCTGGATACATTGCAATGAAAAAATTATTACTTTATTTTTCTAAAAAAATATGTTATTTTTATTTTTTTTTTCATTTTTAGCGATGTAAAATAAGTTAAGTATTACTATTTTTATCAATAAATTTGTCTATTTATTGATTTTCCATAAAAACGCAATGTAATTAAAACTATAAAAAATCAGCTGATCGGCGGTAGACGACCCCGAGAGTTCAATAACCTTTGGTACGTTCAAAGGGCACTTTCATTCTCTTTCCTTCACCACTGGTAGAATGAAAAGAGACAGAAGATACGAGTGAGAAATTTCAGCGACATCTAGCGACGAAAAGCTCTTAGTTCTCTACGTTGCTAGTTTAGGTACTCATTATCCTGTATTTTATTAAGAAAATGCAATGAAAACGCAATTACTAAAAGTAGTTTTAAAACGGCGTTTTGTTATTTTTCAAATTGTTATTTATTGATGATCATTCCCTTCACGCAATAACAATAAGTAAAAACGAGAGCGAAAATACTGCAGGCCAAGCGCGTAAACTTCTAGATACATCTAGCGGCAAATCGCGGCGGTTTT